CTTTCCTGGTTGATAGAGGAGTCAAAACCTTCTTTTAAAGATACAGGGAAAGAACAACTATTTTTATTTCTTCCTGAAGTCCTCCCAGGTAACACCACAGAATTAATGCTTTGATTATAGCCCTAGTTTCCAGTCCCAAAGTTGGAGAAGCAAATGAGGCCCACAAAAAGGCAACACAAAACTGTTCTAACAGTGTTTCTATAAATAATGTCTATACCAGTGCACAAATCTCTGGTATTGGAAAGAAAAACTACAAAGACTTAATTATGGCAATGCAGCAGCCTTCCTCCACAAAGCCAACCTGAAGTGCATTACTTCCCACCCATATTGCCTATATGTTCTAGAAACTAAACCTTCAGAGTACCAGAACAATTCAAAACACTTAGAGACTATTAGACTTGTAAATACAAAAGACTTCATCATACAGGCACCCCAGAGACCTATTTCATGCTACTTTGCTTTCAGAAATCTCAGTTAAAAGAAAGATTCAAACCATTTTCACTGGTTTTCCCTGATGAAAATCTTTCTTAAAATGGGGTAAGCAGAACCATAAATGAGAGGGTTTGGTAGAATTCTTAGCCACGGGGATAATGTAAAGCATGAGAGAAGCACATACAGGCAGTAAGTTACTTTACCAACATTGTTTCCTTGAAGAGTAGGAAGCTGAGATTATAGTGAAAAAAGTCCTTTTCAATTCTTTCTCCAGTAAAGGCTAAGCCTGATAGGTTAGACCTGGCACATCTGCTAGAGACAGTCCCAGCAAAGAACAACTTCAGTTCTGAAATTAAACCAAGAGGATGTTGCTCTGCAGACAATGCAAGAATGACTGGACTAAAATCAACTGGAGGGAGCACAGAACACACAGCTCAGACCCACATACACAACAGCGAGGAAGAAGACACCTAAATAGCAAAGTAACAGAACACAAGTCCTTCCTACACAGATATTCAATGCCTTCCAGGCCACCTTCTGCAAGCTGCAAGCCTCCCTCGCTGTCCAGCCTGGGAAGTTCAAACGTTGGCACATTCCCTGTTACAGTTGCCCCCATAAAGAACACAGCCCAGTCGGGGTGCTGGGCTGTTCTGGCTGCCTCTCCTAAAGCCCAGCTCTTCCCAAGGAGCCAGGGACTAACAGCGAGTTTCACATTTCATTCTCGCTCCAAGCTGATTCCATAGGTGACAGGACAACGTGCCAAGCTGAGCTCAGTCCAGTGCGAGTTCCAACGCTCCACCAGACACCCACCAGCTAAAACCTGAGGCTGAGCACTCCTGTTTGCACGCTGCAGAAGGGCCTGATGAACAGCCCATGCCACACAAGTCGGTGAAAGCATCAGCCCCTCAGCATCTCAGGCGGAAGCTGCGCAGAGCAAACCCAACTCCACTTCCATCGTGGCTACTCAGAGTCCATCACAATGATGGCTGGAAGCAGTGAGATGTGCTGAGCAAGGCAAAGGACAACTCGCTTTACTTGTCACCTACAGTGCTTCTCCAAGCCTTGGTTTCTTTGATGTTCTGTCCTCTTTCAACACCAGCCTGCAAAGTTACATTTTAAAGTATTTACAATCCGGTATTTTTTTGTTAAATTTCTCTTAAAAAGAAGTTTAATGTTGCTTAAAATCCATTAGCATGTGTTATTGAGGACACATTTCATTACTGGCATGACTGGTGATGTACAACAGCCTGCCCCCAAGCCACTGCTGCTTTCCAGCTTTTCACTGCATTCCTAGTCAAGAGGAAAAATAAAATCGAGTTCCACTGGAGCTTGTTCAAAGTATTCACTTTTCAGAAGTGGCAATACTTCAGTACAGCAGCTTGTACAACTCAGTTGCAGTATTGCTGAACAAGGGCCATCCAGCTTCAAGTTTTTTGAAATCCAGCTCTTCCAAGGAAGGGCAAGAGCCCCTTATTCAGGCAGTTCTTTCAGAGTCTGGGGTTTTCTCCTCCCCTTCTCGAAGTTCCACCACCTCCATGACAGCTATTACAACGTCTTTAGCTGCCCCACACACAAATTCCAGAAGAACTTCCAGCTAGATCTTTCCATGGTTACCTTATTACAATTATCAGCATTAACACCCACAAGGGGTTAATAAGGACCCATAAGGTCTGTTGTCCCACCCACGAGGAGGAACAAAACCTCTGAAATGCCCAGTTGCCCCCAGAAAGCCCTAGAGAGCACATTTCCAGTGACCAGCTTAACCTGCAGCCACATTCCGGTGTCCAACCAACTGCTGCTTTCCCAGCTTCACATTAAGATCCCAAGCTTCAGACAACGAACCAAAGCTAGAAATCAGCAACTGTGCTGTAAGTGAAGCCGCTGCAAACGCTGCTTTTTGCTGGACATCAGTGACTCCAGAAGCAGCTTCCCCATGCCAATGAACATTCTAGAAAGCTGCCTGTTTGCCCTCCCCCCCCAGCTCCCTCTGCTCGGCTCTGCAGGTCCAAGCCTCACTTCCAGCTGCACATTGGCACTCGCTGGAGGAGAGCAGAGCACCCCTGGCTCACAGCAGCACAACCTGACACCTCAGAACAAACTAAAGGTGAGAGATACCGCTGCTTGCAACGAGACCACGCACATTTCTTCCCTGCTGCTACTCCCTGGAATCACTGCAGCCAGCTGGGGTTCACCTCCCTCACCCCACCACCACAAAGTACTCATCAGGTGAGGGGAAGAACAGGTACTCGTGCTCTAGTTCACCACTAGATTGTATGGCACAGAGTCTACTCTGTCAGAGCTTCTCAGCTGCTCCCCCCAAAGCAAGGGCAGAGTTCTGGCTGTTCTGCTGAGAAACACACTCCGAGTAAGGACAGGTCACACCAAAGGAGGCTGTGGTTTGTGACCTCTGCCCATCCCACAAGCAGCTGACACATACGCAAGTCGATGCACCAGTCCAGACACAGCAACCCTGCACCGTCCAAGGGAGAAGCCGTAAAGCACCAGGAGCTCAGCATTTCAAATTCCTGAATTACCACCAGCTCCTCTTTGAGGTCTTCCATGCAAGCCACTCGGTCAGCCTGCAATCTGGAAGCATTATGAAGAAAGAAATGATTTCAACAATTCAGTAATTCACAGGAATCACAGCAGGAACTGAGTGCTGGGCACATTCCTGAAGTTTTCCTGACAGCACTGGGAAGTTAAGGCACCGGTATCGAGAAGGGGGGTGGAATCACAAGTCACGAAGCTCATTTCTCAGAGTTTCAAACCCATATGGGATCTAACAGGCAGCTCTTTAACACCACCAGCTACCCGGGCTAGAGACAAATGCACAACAGTTGCACGTTCTGCCTCAGACATTTCAGTACCTCAAAGGTTATTCTGAAGGAAACGTGACATTACTTTGACTCAGCCAGCGAAAGCTACTATGAAACAAGTGCATGTGGAAGTATCTGGACGTTTCATTCTAGTTCATAGCATTTGATAAGCTCTAATGCACTATTTGGAGTCACGTGCTCTGGAAGGCACCGCTGATACCAAGTACAAGAGTCCTATCTCCTTATATCCAGTTACACTTCCCAGTAGGAAGCCACCAGGGCAGGAACAGCCGTCACAGCCTTTTGATCTCTGCAGGTGAAGGGATCTTGAACTCTGTGCTGGATGCTAACCCAGCTGCTCCGAGTCACTCCATGGAGACAATTCCTCTTCCTGGCTACAGCAGACTTGCCCGTTACTCCAGCAGCCCAAGGATCCCCTTCTCCTTAAGTTACTCCTTTTTTCCAGGTTAATTGCCAGCAAAGCACTGCACAGCCCTGTTCCTCCTACTCCTGAAAGCTGACAACATACTTCTCTCCACCATCCTGGGCTGCACGTAGGTGGATTGAGATCTGAGATAAAATATTGTATCCTCTATTTCAGAAGCCTGGGCATGCTCCATTTCTGTCTCCTCCAGCTGCAGATGGCTGTTTTTATGTAAAAAATAAATAAAACACAATGAGAGCTTATCAAGCTGACCTACTCCACCTCCGCGGTATCATTAGTGGGTTGCATGGCAGGTTACTTAAGCAGGTTAACAGTGATATTTTAATAATTGCTAGTGCAGTTAATGTAATGAATATTAACAGCATCCTAGATAGGCACCTACAGCACTGCCAGCGAGAGAACTCAGCTTGGCCCTCTATATATCACTCCTACAAAGTGAAGTAGGACGAGCACTTTTTAGTGCAGTCACTCAAAAACCAACATGGTTTGGTCAACATCACTGTGCCCCTTTGTCCCCTCCCCAAGCTCCAAAGCAGGCACAGAAACACTTGTCACTGAAGCATTTTAGACCCTCGTGCCCCGCCTTCGCTTATCTGCACAAAGTTTCAACACTTACAGCTCAGTGTTTCCTGTGCAAGGAAAGAAAGCACCACTTCTATCTCCCAAACCACAGCGATCAGTAACAGCTGAAGCAAAGCCGGTATCAGATGTCAGCCTCCTCCCCCCGGAGTTCACAAGCACTCCTTCATAAAAACTCCTTCACCTCCACCAAAAAAGTTCATTTTCAAATACCACGTGCTTTAGTTACAGACAAAAGGCAGCTCTTTATCTACGGCTCAGAGCGTGACAGGTACTACAAGGAACCTGTCACAGCTCCCTCCGTCACGCTCTGTCCCTTCCCAGTGGACTCACCAAGGAATCTAAACGTGCCTTTATGTTCACCAGAAAGCCAAGCTGCACCTCCACACTCAGCACTGCCTGACGTGATTCACTAGAGAAGCTCTTTTCTTCTAAAAGAAAGCCTTACTGACACGGCTACATCACACAACCAAACAAACAGGTGAAGCACACAGGAAAGAACCCATAACACTTGAAGCCTGCAAGAGTTACAAGCTCACACCCAACCTTCCCCCAGCGAGGGAAGTGTGCACGGAAAGGAAAGAAATCAATTTCCTGTGCAGAGATGTGAAGAAACACCAGGTCTCATCTGCTGATAAAAAAAAAAACATTCTCTATAAGAACCAACAAGAGCGGGAACAACTTCAATGCGCACACTTAAGCTCCACGTTGGGGGGCAAAGCACTTACCAAGAAAGGGCAACATCTGCTCAGATCCCAGTGAAAGAACAGGACTGTTAAGAGGAACAGGGGGAAGAGACGCAATTACAGCCGCAACAGCATGCCGGTAAAAAGCCTTAACGAGCCCCACGTCTAAAAGGCACGGGAACGCGGCCCCGCGCACAAGGGCAGGCGAGCGGAGCCGGCACACGGCGGCCCGCGGAGCCCGGCAGGGGCCGGCGGTTGCCAACGGCACGGGGCGATCCCGGCGGGCTCGCGGGGACCGGCCACCCCAGGGGGGACCCACCAACCCCGGGCACCCCCAAGGGGACCGGGCACCCCCGGCACCCCCCGGGCCGGGCACGGGGGCGGCGGCGCCGCGCGAGGCCCAACGGGCAGCGGGAGCTGCCCGGCCCCGCCGCCCGAGCCCCGCCGCGAACGGGCCGGCCCGGCCGGCCACAGGAGGCCGCCGAGCCGCCTCCCGCCGCTGCCCCCGGCCGGGCCGAGCGGAGCGGGGCTGAGGGCTCCGTGGCGGCCCCGCACCCGCGGCCGAGGGGGCGTGTGCGGCCCTCAGTGACAGCGCGGCCGCGCTCCGCCAGGCCCCGCGCCGGGTCGGCCCTCCACGCCGTGGGACACCGGGCACGCCGGTGGGTTCTTACCGCGGGGCAGGGCATGGCGCGGAGCCCCCGCCCGTCCGGGGCGCGGCGTCCTGCCGGGGCCGGGGTCGCTGCGGGCTCGGGGCCGCCGCCGCCTCACGGGCACAACAACATGGCGGCCGCGCGGCCTCCTCCCTCCTCAGCCCGCCCCCCGCGGGGAGGGGCCCGCGCGCCGCTCCCGCCCTCGGCCATGAGGGAGCGGGGGGGGGAACGGCCCCGCTGGGGGAGTCCGGGAATCGGGGAATCACAGAGTCACAGAAATATAGACTAGCAGAATTATAGAATCACAGAATCATAAAACTACGGAGTCGCAGAATTGAAAAATTACAGAATCACGGAACTACAGAATCGTGGAACCGCAGAATTACGGAAATCATAGAATCGGGGAAATTGCCGAATCAGCAAGGTTGAAGGAGACCCTGAAGATCATCCAGTCCAACCGTCACCCCGGCACGGCCATCGTAACCCCTAAACCACATCACCCAGCGCCAGATCCAAACACCTCTCCAACAGTTCCATGGATGGTGATGCCACCACCTCCCTGGCGGCCCATTCCAGTGTCTGAGCTCCCGAACAGTGAAAACATTTGTCTGATATGAAATGTCACAGCCCCGCTCGGCTCAGCGCTCCCCGTACCCTCAGGAGGTGCCTGCCCTCCCTCAGCCCCTGGTGAAAGGCAGGGCCGCAGGGATGATGAAGGGACTGGAGCATGTCCCTGATGAGGAGAGACTGTGGGAGCTCAGCCTGGTTAGTCCAGAGAAGACTGAGAGGACATCTCATCAATGCATATAAGTATCTCCAAGGGGTGTCCAGAGGATGGTGCCAGACTCTTTTCAGTGGTGCCAAGTGACAGGATGAGGAGCAATGGCCATAAACTAAAACACTAGAAGTTCCACCTCAACATGGGAAGAACTTCTTTCCGTGGAAGGTGGCAGAGCTGCCCAGGGAGGTCATGGAGTCTCCTTCTCTGGAGACATTCCAAACCCACCCAGACACATTCCTGTGTCACCTGCACCACGTCACGTTGTTGTCTCAGGAGAAGGTTTGGCACCCAACCTGTGAGACAGGTAATAGTGTAGGTGGGTGCTGAGGGGGGCCGAGTAGCTCTGAGATCCGAGGTGTACCCACACCCTGCAGCACCCACTGCCATCCCTCCTCCTTAGGATCCTCTAAAACCCCTGGAGAAACACCCTATCTGAGTATAAAAGCCGTTCTGGTGCACAAGATCTTCAGGCTGATGTTTTCCTGCGTTGCTTTGGTGCCACCCAGCTCAGCTGTAGGACACGTGTGGCCCCACACCACCGGGACACGCGCTGTCCGAGCCACCCTCCACAGCCCACAGCTCCTAAAGCATGAGGTAATGGGGAACAGGGAGCCAGCACAAGGCAGGACTGCCAAAAAACACATGGAAACTGAGACACAAGTGATAAAGCAAAAGGCCTGTGAGCATTAAGCTACAGAAAACACAAGAAAGCTGGAGAGGAGAGCGGCACCACTGTCGGAGGCGGCAGGAGTGTCACCAGTTCCAAAATGAAGCCTTTACTCTAAGCCTTGTGCAATGAAGCTCCTTTCCAGCAGCAAGATTTATATCTGGGTTTTGTTGCAACTGTGAGGGATCATTAATGTTTTATTTTTATACATATCTTTAATTTACAATACCGTATGTAGGTCAGGTTGTACTTCTGCCAGAGATTTCCACCCGCTCCTCGTGTTCACCTTGATCTGAAATGAAATGCTTGCAAGTGGCTATAAAATGCACTCCTAAATTATCCCCAGGACTCTCCCTCTGAGTCCAAGCCTAGTCATTGTAACAGATGGACTTCAGTCTGTCATTAGGTCGTGTCTAAGCTGGAAGGAGCATTAATGTTCAGAGAGAACAATGCAAAATACAGGATCCCGTGTCTTCACACTCAGATATGAGCCACGCAGTGAGCTGTGTTCTGGTTCTGCTCCCTTGGTCAGGCACAGCCAATGTTTGAAAAGAAGGTAATCAGACTCTCTGAAGAAATTTTTTTTTCCCAACAACAAGCCATCATCTGAATGCAAATGTGATCTGAATGTCAATATGTACCTTCAGCAGAACTTTGGAAGAGATACAGGTAACTGAAGGGAAAAACAGGATTCCTGGCCTGTTTGCACCCAAAAGCAACGAAAATGTGTTGAGCCAGTACAGCTGAATCTGAAAAGGATGTGTGTTGACAGCATTAGCAAGCAAAATATGAATTTTGAGAAGTCCCTGTTAAATGTTGCCTTTCTGAGTGTGCCTGGAGGGAGATCAAATGTGACCTACTTCATGGAGCTGGATCCTGGACACCCGGGGCTGCTGCACAGCAGGACCTGCTGGGTTCCTCTGCTGGTTTCCAAGGAGGGGGATCTCCTGCAGTGCCATCCCTGGGACAGGAAAAGCTGGGCACTTCCAGCTGCTTATTTATATATTTCATCTTTACCAATGTGGTCACATGGAGACATTCCATGTCTTGTGTCCTGATCCTCTCCACTCCTTATGTTCCAGTCTATTTTTTAATAAATGGCCCCATTTAAATGACTTTTGCCCATATTTCCTATGATGATCAGGATGAAGGATGACAGCTAATGAGGATTGTTTTGTGGAAATGGGAATTACTGGAACCAAAGGGAGAGCAAGGCCTGTAAGAACCTGACAGCTCAGGGAATGAGGTGTTCCCAAACCCAGAGTCCTGACGGACCTGGAATGTATCCTCACTCATCCAGTACAGTTTTTAATTTGTCAGCTGGAGGGTGGTAATGAATTACAGAGGAGCTCCTGAAGCACTGGCTGGATTTAAGCAGGAGGAAGTAAAGCAATCCAGTCGTTGAGACACCTGTTAGCGTGACCTCAAGAACATTAAAAGCTTAAAAAATTAAATATAAAGGAAAAAGCAGTTGAGGCCAGACAAATAAGTGTAAAAATGTAACGTAAAAAATGTGACATAGCTTTACTAAAGATTGATTGCATTTAACTAAGATTATACCTTTGATAGTTGTTTTTTAGACAAAAAATATATTATGGATTTATTAATTGATTCAATAAATTAATAGAAAGCAGGTCCATAAAATGTAACTAGATGGAAAAGGTAGGGAAGTCACCCCAAATCTACACCAGCTGTGGATGCAAAGGGAAGAGTGAGCAGAAAGTATCTGGATTCCCTTGTTCTCTCTATCCAGCCTTGCTTCCCTCTGGAGCACTGGATCCCAGAGATCACAGCCTGGCCCAGCAAGGCATGTCTGGATGGGCTCCTGATCTTGCACAATCTTTTTCAGACAGGCCTTGGAACAAAAGGTAGGAGTGAGCTGATGGCATTTGCTGATGGCACAAAGCTGGGAGGCGCCAGCCAAGCAGCGGGAATAGCTGTATTGCTGGAAGAGTTGGATAACACGGAGAGCTGGCACACTGGAAATGGGATGAAATTTAATAGTGGAAAGTACAAGGTCATGCCCTTGGGAATTGCTAACAAGAATCTCTGCCGCAAGCTGGGAGCTCATCAGCTGGAAATGACAGAAGAAGAGAAAAATCTGGGTGTATTTGTTGATCTCCAGATGACTGTGAACTCCCAGTGTGAAGCAGATCTGACAAAAAGCATGGATCAACTGAGATATTTCCAGGACAAGGGGAAATGTTAATGCCATTATAGGAAGCTCTGCTGCAACCTTCTCTGGAATTATGCATGCAGCTCTGGTCACTTTTTACCAAGGGAGACAAAATGTGACCGGAAAGTAATTACAGAGTAATCCTGGTTTCCCCCCCGCTATATAAGGATCTTGAAATAATTTGTTTAGCCAGAAAACCTTACTGCTGAGAAGGGAAACGGGTGTTCTCTGTGAAACTTCAGGGAGTAAACACAACAGTAAACACATCTCCCTTAAGAGCAGGGGTGTTCAGACACCAGCAAACAAGTATCCGATGGCCATGAGAAGTCTGGGCTGAAACATGAGAACACCAGAGCTTCCAGCAGCTCAAGTCCGAGGCTCTGGGTCATCCTTCCCAGGGCTGCTGTACCCTCATGCAGTTGCCACCAACAGCTGAGAACTGACCCTAAAGGCCCAACAAGTCCTTCCCAAACCTCTCTTACTCTTTGAGGCACAGCCACTGAGTCGCTAGTTGGCTGCTTGTGGAAAGAAAGGGGGTACCTGGTGTGGAAAGACGTTCCTCGGGCTGCAGTTGCAACCCAAATGTCCCTTGAGTTCGGTAAGGACACATTTAAAACCTGCACGTGGTTGTGGAGAGCATCCTGTTCTGGCTCATCCCACCCCAGTCCCTGGGATGTCCTTCCCAGAGCTCTGGAGCCCATCCTGTACCTGAGCTGCAATCCTGGGGTGTCCCACGCCTGGGACAGCAAGAAACAGCAAAGCCAAAGGTGTGCCAGGCCCTTCCCTGCCCGTGCTCCCATCCAGTGACCTTTACACACTTCACTCCCGTGGCCCCAACATCCCCCCCAGCCTTTGCAGGCTGTTTCTGTTATGATGAAAAACTGATGGCAAGCTCAGATATGCCTTAAAAAAAACAATCAGCACACCAAGTCCTGATCCAGTGAGAACAGTCAGATCATGGGACACAGGGCAGTTTGCTTTCTCAGGACTCCAAACTGCCTCCTTTGCCCAGTTTGCTACCCAAAAGCAGCTCCCTTCATCCCTTCTCTCCTATCTTGTTTGTTTTCTCATCTTTTATCCTACTTAGAGGTTTTACTCATTTTACTCCTCTGGGTTTTTTTTAAGAATTCCTGAGCAGAATGTTCAGCCCCATCCCTGGCCACTGTATTTATGTGGCATTCCTTGTCTTGTGGGTGATTCCATCCCTCCTGCTCCCATCAAACAAGCTGCTATCTCACTGCTCGTTCCATCCAAATGGGGGGAGGTGACATGGGGGTCAGAACACCCCAGATTCAAACGTGGCAGGTGAGAGCCGCCCACTGCCAGTCCTCCTGACGGGGCCCCAAAGCAGATGCTCTGACTCATTCCCTTGCCAAGTAGATGAATAATTTGAAAATAATGAGATTTTTATTACACACATATCATTTTGGTCGGAACATTTTGCAACAGTCTCATTTTAGGATTTTTTTGGTCTGGGAATAACCCCATTTTAAAACA